TTATAATAATTATAATATATAATATATATATATAATATACATATAAAAATGAATAAATTGTCGCTGTTGGTTTTGTTGTTAGATTAAAAAAAGAAAAAAAACCGGCAAGCGGATCGCAATGATGAATCAATGTGTGTATTGTAATTAAAGAACGTGATGATGATAAAGAGAAGAAGAAGCTAGATTTGCGAATGACTAATTTACTTAATTTTATTATCTCAAAACTGTGTTTTTCGATATATATAAAAGCCAGCATATTAGAGATTTATGCGGGCAGGTAACGTGCGAGCATTATTATATGATTGATTACGTTCAAAAAATAAAAAAAAATAAAAATAAGATATAATATATATCAAAGCATAGAACTTCGATACGACAACAACAATGTAGTATTTCTTTTTTTTTTTTTTKTTAAATATTACAATAATGAAAAATAAATTTTTGTGTGACTTGTGGATGACATGATATTTATAATATGGTGTGCAATAATATATTAAGCCTTAAAAGTTGTTCAGTTCGATGATAGGTAATAAATTAATGAATAAAAATCGTGTTATTAAATGAGAAAATGAGGAATAATGAACATCCTTATTAGTCAATTGTTAAATTTTCTACTAATTTGTTAATACGATCATTGGGTATACACAGCTTATTATAATGATTAATAAGTTGTGAGCATTTAATGTATGTATATATGTATGTATGTATGTATGTATGTATGAAATGAGACGAATGAATAAAAAACAAACAAATAAGTTATATATATATATATGTATATCTATGCAGTGCTTTCACGAATTATTCATTCATCGATAAATGTATAAGTATAAAAAGAAATAATATATCGAAGAAAAAAAAAGAAAAAAATAATAATAATAATAAGAAAAACGTTCATTCTCGTGTGCCGTCTCTCCTAACTTTCGCTCTTCCCAAAGACAAAAATTATTATTTGTACACATTTGTTTTTTCCTCCTTCTTTTTTCTTTTTATCTTTTTTACCGTGTAATTATGACAGAACAATTTTTATCATTTACCATAGAGACTCCTTTACTTTTGAAATAAGTAAAGCTCACCTTTCGTGGAGGAGGAACAGGATTGCCAAGGCCATGATCCGAACACATTGAACTTAGGGACTCGCTACTACGACCATTACTCAATCTGGAAGTGCTAACGCTGGACGGTGCAGGTGGTGGTGGATTACGTGGTCTTTGTAATGTTGAACTATTGGTTTTGTCCATTCCTGTATTAGAAAACAATGAAATGTATTAATCAAATGAGATAAAAAATGAAAAGAAAACAAAAAGGAAGAAAGGAAGGAAAGAAAGAAGAAGGAGAGAATAAAATATAATTTAAAAGGATAAGTTTTATCGAGATTTCACCTCTTGGAGAGCTTTACATTGATATCGTAAAGCGAGTTTTAACACCTAAACATACCATGCCCTGTAGAAGAGTCTCCACTGGGTGATCTTTTATGGTGTTGATTGTTAAGTGTGTTTAGAGTATGCGATAGTGTGTGTAAGGTGTGTCCAGCTAAGATTGGCTCACTCGTCGTCCGGCTATGTGTGGATGTTGCTAATGACGCTGACGAAGGTAGTGTACCATAATGAGGAGATGGAATGCCACTTGAGCTTCCTGACGGTGGGGGAGGCGGTGCGACACGTTTCTTCAACGATCCATGGATATTTATTGAAATATCTGGTGTCATCGGCGTGGGTACTGTGTGTTTCAAATAAATAATAATTATAATTATTCATTAGATTATATATCTCCGTGTGTAAACATTCGATCGAGTATTATAATTATTTATTATATGTATTATTCATTAAATGATTATCGGGTTATGTAAAAAAAGAAAAACAAAACAATAATGACAACCTACCAGCAACAGGTTTTCTCGTTTGTGGTGGAGGTGGCGGTGGCATTTGTTGTCTGTTTGTAGAAGAACTCGGGGAGGAACCACTTTGTAGACTGTCACAAGTACTGCTACGACTACGTAACGTCACCGGTGAATCACCAGAACCTGTACCTCCACCACCAGCATACGAAGGTGGTCTGCTACGTGACTTCTTCTCAGGCGTTAAACAGCCGTTCTAAATATAGAAGAAAAAAAAATCAACATTTTATCTTATTCAATCTTGACAATGACTCACCATCATTATTATTTAGTATAATATAATACGAATCTATTTACCCTATCTTCGATGATTGTTTCATCATCAGAGAAATCCGTTGATCCTTCATCATGAGAAAGGTTCCAATCGATGTTAACATTATCAAATAATGTCTTCTGTCTTTGTAAAGCATGAGTAAGCTAAAACAACAAAATTTATTCCTATGTTCGTGGAAAATTATCCTCTACATAATTTACAATCATAAATATGAAAAACTTACTAAGTCTTTACAAGTATGATGTCCCATTTCTTGCGCAATATCCAAAGGAGTTTTATCTTGTTTATTTCTGTAACTTGGATCAGCGCCAGCTCTTAAAAGTAATTTCATAGCTTCCGATCTGTCGTGTCTCGCTGAAAGATGTAACGCTGTCTCGCCGTCAACCGTTATCCTATCAATACCACCAGTTGACATATTTTGTATTAGAAAATCCACTATTTGTAAACTATTGCCCATCTCGCGTAAGATTGCCAAATGTAAAGCTGTCTCACCGATATCCTATAATAAATAATAATTCTGTTAATAAAATTTATATTTTTAACAAATATAAAAATAAAAATAAATGTCATTAGAATTCTTGCCGAGGTGGGCAAAGGTGCCGCTAGGTCAACGTTCTCAGCATAAACTTGTAAAAGTTGTTGTAAATCACGATTGTTAACTGCGTGTTCTAAATCCGATAAGAGATCTCGTTCATCCGCGCAAGTACTCATCACGTATTTTTTATCAACGTATTTGGCTCTTATAAATTCGTATCGTTCTTCCCTGTTGATTTTAAATACCAATGTGTTATATATTATATATTGTAAAAATTCTAAACGAGTAGGAAGCAATAAAACTGTCGATTCTTACATTGAAGATGTAGGCGTTGGTTTAAGATTATGACGTAATGTAGCTTCCATAACTTCGTTAAATGCTTGATTAGTCATATGCCGCGCTAATAATAATTGGGCAGTTCCTACATTATCTAAAGTTAAAGACTGTATCCTTGATATATGCACACCTAAATCTCGATGAATCCCACTACATTCTATACATACGATTATTCCAAAATTTGTAGATAACCAGGTAGCATCTGTTAATCATTTATATATAACTATATAGTTAAATCTGTGTTTAATATAAAACATTCATTTTAATCATTATAAATGATTAATCAATGAGAAATATTTATTGTTTAGTTTTTTACCGTTTTGAGAGGAACAGTCACAACATTGTTCGTTTCCAGGTAATCGCATAACACATCTAATCACTGCTTGCTGTAATTCAACTAAACTAGGATTCCCTTGGCCAGCTTCAGCTTTCCCACTAGCATCGAATGCTCTTAACAAAGCTCTTTCCTTACAATTTACCAATACTGACATCCAAGCGCGCTGATCTGCTTCGTCTTCCGCTTGAAAGTGATACGTACGATTATCTAGAAAATTAAATAAAATTATTGCGAGATTATCTATAGAATATTATTATATATACAAATCTAGATTAACTATAGATAATTTCAACTTACAACTTATAAGATCGAAGCCTCTTTTATCATCCGGTACAAGCTTTATTTGGCACGTAAGTAAATTCACTCTCGTAGGTGGTTTATTCTCGTCGGCATGACAAATATCCAAATAACCCTCGGCTTGTACAGCACATCTTCTTTTTTGCCAAACCCTCCTCATCTTTCCTTCGCTTTTTTTCAACAAATGTCCAGAACGTGTTACTCCGTGTTGCTTATCACCTTGAAGCTGATGCAAGGAATATCCTACACTTGCATTTACGTTTAACTATAAGTCAAACAATTCCAACAATGTTAGCCATTCTCGTAAAAGAATGTATAGTATTAATGATATGATTGAGATAATAGTTTGTATTTTTTTATATTAAACGATCTTACCTCTTTATCGCAACCTGAACTCCTAAGCAAACTTCTTAATTCCGTCAAACGTCTTCTTTCTTCATCTTGAGTCTGTCGAATCTTTTGCAGCTTAACGCTCAGATCAGCCACGTAAGAACCAAAATGTTCTATAGTCTTTAAACCATCTTGAAAATAGCTAAGGACCAAAGAGGTAAAAACTAATAAATTCAGTACATTAATTATTAAGTTAATTTCTTCGAAGTTAACTTTACGATCATTTATATTTCAAATATAATTTAACTTACTTTGTCTGAGCATGATAATATTCGACTAGATGCTGCAACAATTCGATACCTTTCTTCGTCTTAATTTCATTCACCTTTATAAGATACTAAAATTATGAAAGAAAACGAGAGATATATTAGAATATAATTTAAAAAAATGATAATAATTATTATAACAATATTGAAACTTTTAAAACACATTATACTCAAAGTGATATACATTATATTATTACTCTGTGTTTTACTCTAACAGGTTTAATTAATTCTTCTTATCAATACTACTCACCTCGCACATTTGCAATTGAAATAATCGCCTCTCCTTCTCCATTTCATCAGCAATCTCGGCTGGTGTAACCTCCGTACGAATAAGGCCAGCTTCCTTGGCATGTTGCTTTTTTTCCTTCTCGATTTTCGCATACTTTGCCTCGTAATCCTTCCACGCCTTTTCAAATGGTCTTTTCAAATCACCCTTTACACCTCTCAAATCTCCTTTCAGTACCGAATCCAACGGGAACATTACAATGTTATTGATGTTTTGCATCTGAAATATCCGAATTTTTAATTAGAGTATACATTTTCTTTTTTTATTTATCTATTTATTAAAAGCTTTTTAAAAAATAGATAAGAAAATACATTTCCCGCCAAACGAATAGAACAAAACGTACGCGGTCGATAAAACAGGTTTCTTCTTCTATATCGTGAAGAAAATAGAAATTAATTTTGTTTTGTATTGTTATATATATAAATATTCGTAATTTAAATATAATCGTGTACAATAAAATACAATTACATCGAGGAACTTTTATCTGAATTTTATTTAATTATAGATTATCAAATAAATAATGAACATACCAAAGTCTTCATAAGGGCACTCAATTCCTTGGTGACTACTGCGAATTTAAGGAATGCTGCTCCTATATCAGGCTCTTGTTCTTTAAGGGCAGCATCGCCGAGTCTTTCAAGGGCTCTTCCGAGATAAACTTCATTATCGACGTGGGCTTCAAAAAATAAATAAATAAATAGATAAATATAAAGTTATAGATAAAAGGAAACAGAGTTTTCATAGTTTTAATATTTTAATATTAGTATTATACAAGGTATTTATCAATTTCTTCTTTTAATTTTTAGACAAAACTGTTTTCTCACAATAGTAAACAAATTGAGTATCCTGCTTCTTTCTACATATATATATATATAATATAAAAGAGAGAGAAGATACAAGTTATATAAATGTTGTATCCTTCGCTTACAAGTAAAATCGATTTCATGCTTTCTCCCCCAAGTTGTCGTCTACATGTTCTTTGTTTCTATATCTATATTTCTCTCTCTCTCTCTTCTGGCAAAAGGGAACGTTTCCGTTTTGAAGTTTCGATTCTATCGAGAAACTCGACTGCTCGACGAGCAGAAAGCATTGTTTTCTCAGAGAAATAGGAACACCAACAACATGGTGATGGTACTCGATCTTTACGTACAGATGTACGGATCATATTGAAGCGACATTTCCTGTGCATTCGAGAGTTACATAATATACGATGAAAAGCGAACACAGTTCATAGGATAAGAGACAATAACAAAAGCAATATCAGGGCCAATTACAAAATAAAATTAAAAGCAAACGTCTAAAAACGAAATATACAAATATATTGTATTTTAAATATTGGATATCATCCCACCAATGGGTCCCACTTTTGTTTCTAAATTTTTATATATTAATATATTCTTGCAGTTATACTTATACACGTATATTTATCATAAGAAACACGTGGTATATAGTAAAACGTATGACGACGACATGCAAAACAAACAAAAAAAGAGGAAAACAATAAAAGAAAGGATTCAATAAAAAAATAAAAAAAAATAAAATAATTAGTAAAAGTTCATTTGTATTGTTCAATTCTCAATCAATTAATTTTCTATAACCTCAGGTCATCATCATAGGAGAATGATCTATGCGTAGACCTCAGGTGTGTTTAATTAATTAATCTTATCGAGCATTTTTCACACTAGATCGCGTGGAATAAATTTTAACGGGAGAGCAGCTAACATAAACGGAAGAAGAAAAAAAATATGAGTGAAGTAGGAAGAAGAAGGACGATGAGGAAGTGAATACACTCTCTTCTTTCACGTATGAACGAGAAAGTGGGAAATAAAAACAGGGAGGGAGAGAGAGAGAGAGAGAGAGAGAGAGAGAGAGAAAAAAAAAAAGAAAAAGAGAGTGAGTGAGAGAGAAATAGAGAGAAAGAGAGAGAATTGAAGGGTGGAGGGAGGAAAGTAAGGGCGCCAGAGAAATCGATTTGTCTGTCCACTAACGTTAATATGAAAAGAAGCCACGAGGACTACCACCCCATAGAAGGGAAATTTACCGATAAGGTTTCATCCCCTTTTGTAAAAGCTCCATAACACATATATACAAAACAAATAAAATTGTTAAAAAATATCCGTGGTGAATGATAAAATTAACCCTCCGTCGGTAACGTAGGACTTGCCATCTTTGAATAACTACTTTTTATTTTATTTTGTAAATTCAATTCATAAATAACAAAATAAATTATTAGATATTATTTTAAAACTTCTCTAAAGAATATTAATTAAATTTATTCACATTATTAACAATAACATTGATAAAAAAGAAACCCCTCCATCTTAGTGGCGTTGATAAAATGTCATCGTTAATAAATAAATAAAAAAAAGAAGATTATATTATTAATTCATATATATTTATAATACTAAATTAAATAAATTAATAATATTATATAATAAATTATATATATATACAATAAAGTAAACGTTTTTATATATCGTTTTCAAAGAATAAGTGCATAAGGACTTGCTGCAATGGCGCTTTAAGAGCGAATGAGAAAGATAAAGAAAGAGAGTAATGATTTTCGACCCGTTTATAGTCTCTACTACGTATCTAAGAGACGCCAAAAGCTCTTCTTCTCGAGTACTTGAGTTACTTAAGTAGATATTAAAACACTTAATACGATATTGAAGTTACATTTAAGTATCCTGCATTATTCAAACGTATGCATACACTTTACCGTCAATTTTTCAACAATTTAATAATGATATAATTGAAACACAACCGGAAGTTATGTCTTTTCTTAATAAATATACTATATTACGTATATATATATATATATATAATATGTAAAAAGAAAATGTAAGATTGGTTAAATATATCATTCGACCTTTTCAATTCTTTTTCAAGCTTAATCTCTGCGTCATTGTGACAAATATGTTCAAATGGGTTAAACCGAGTCAATCTATGCATACATATATCATCTCCAGTATACATACACACGCGCACACGCACATGCGCGCGCGCGGCCGTAAATGCATGTAAAAACATACGTGTTTCATGTTTTATTTCGACGAATGATCTATACATACTTGTACTTACATAGTTGTACATAATTAAATGGATAATATCATGCTTATACACATATCCAACTTTCGTAAAAAGATTATCTTATGTGTAGCTAATAATTAGGTTAGGGTCTCAAAAGGTATATAATATTATATAAGAGTCACATTTTTTCGTGTGTAAATGTTCATACAAATGTGACAACTATAATTTAAAACACATAAGACAGAAAGAGTTATTCTTTAACATTATTGATATTATTATGTTACGAAACTCCCCAAAATTATTTACTGAATGAATACAATGTGTTTATACATGTAATATGTATGCATATGTATTTAATACGATATATCGATTTTCAGTTCCCGTCAGGGAACATGGTGACACACTAAAACTCTACCACACCCCGTGGTGTGCATTACCCAATAGCGTTCCAAGCTCAACTCACTTTGAATAGCAAATATATACTAGAAAGTCAACGTCATATTAGGTATATATTGGTGAATAAACTTAAAAAAATTAAATAATGAAAGAAAAAAAAAAGAAACGAACGAAGCACCACACGCACCTTCAATCCCGTCCTTCGTGGAAATTTTTGCAACGAAGAGCGACATTCAAAAGAAATTAATCGAATTTTCTCCTTTTTTTCATTGGAATAGGTATATAATAATATTCGTTCTTTCTTTTTTTTTTTTTTTTTATTCACTTATCAGATTTATTTTAACGATTGGAATTTGTACGAATTTGAATAAACGATCGGAGCGTTTTAACGGCGTTCGTGGAAACTAAATCAGTGAGGCGCGACATTCGAACCGAATGAATTGAATTTTGTAATTTTTGTTTCTTTAGGGAAATGTAATTTTTTATTGATTACACTTTTTAAGATGGAAATTTGTATAAGTTTAGAATAGTAGTTGACACGAAATGTGAAACGACACGATCAATGTCGTTCGTTGAAATTAATAAGCCAAGCGTGATATTTAAATGAATATTATAATAAAATTCAATTGATGTTAGTATTTATTAATTAGAGTTATTTAAACAAAAAATATTACTCTTACCATTCCCCGAATTATGAATTGCCTTGATAGCCTTTTTTAATTTGGTTAGACCATCTCTGTCGAAGTCCAGAGTCTGTAACATAATAATCAAACGTTAATTTATATAACACTGGATGAATTATCGTTCATTCATTTCTTTTTTTACTTAAAGAGTATAAACTTATATGCAATAGATATAAATATACATAAAGGATATTAAAATAAAGCTAATTATGAAACTTTATATAATTATAATAATTTTTTTAATAATTTTCTATTAAGATCAAAAATAATATAATTATTATTTTTACAGAGTATAATAATATAGTATAATGATATCACACATACACACACACACACAATAAATTTACTATGGACAATAACAATTAAATATTTTAACGCGAATACAAATAATATATGAAAAAAGAAAAGAAAGAAAATACACTTACGTAACGAGTTTTGAACCAGAGCATTCCCAAATTTTGTTTATTAATCCCGCACAACATAATTCACCAATTTTTAATCCAATCTTTACAGTAAAACTTGTATTTTTATATAATCCAATATTCCATCCTCCCTCTTATTTCTCACAACACAATCTCTCAATAAACAAGAAAGAAGAAGAAGAAGAAGAAGAAGGAAAAGTGTTAAACCGAGGGGTGAGTTACCCTTAAAAGAAGAAATCGATCTACCCTACAACACTCTTTTATCTGAAAGTTTTTCAAAAGCAGAGCAAGGAAATAAAGCTTTTCACGTCATGTGAGCGTATCACTTACTAAAAAAAAAAATATATTAAACCTCCTATACGATTTAATGTTAGTAACAGCTGTAATGAGAGTGCATACATATAGATATTTGTCTTGCGTATCATCAAATCTTTTCTCCCTCTCTCTATCTTTCTATATCTTATTTATTCTATTTCTCTTTCTCATCAAGAGGACTAAAGAAGATACACCAAGAATAGATCTTGTCTCGTTTAAAAATAACTCAGTCAGGCTAAGAACGAATTCTCATAGGATACACGGTTCTGATGTTGTAAGAGTCAATTCTAAAATAGGAAAGTGGGTAACTTAAAGACAATCAGGGTCAAGAGTAAGTCGAAACAAGACAATAAAAAAAAAGAAAAAAAGGAATGGGGAGAAGGTTAAAAAGCTTTGGTAGTTGAGTCAACATCTGGATACTTTGAAGATGTTGTTTTTATGAATGGAATTAAGAATTAAAATGAAGATAGTAAATCTAGTATTTAATATAAAACACACAATGATATATTATATATGAAATCATAAAAACAAAATAATAATTATTAGAAATATTTCTATCAAGCATAAATTATGCATTACATATTATTTTATGACAAATAATTTTTTATTTAATTATATTTTTCATTATAGAAAGAAGAATGAGAGAGAGAGTTAAAATTAAGTTGTGAAGAATTAACTTAATATTCGAAGCTTTATTAGGTTCTCGACAAATTTTCTCTCCACTTTATCGAACATGTCAATGTGTTTGTATTTTACAGAGTGTGAGAGAGAAACTTTGAAAGCTATTTCGTGTCTACTCCTCCTTCGGTTGTTAGGTTATCAGGTTAAATTCGTTCAAAGTAAACTCAGAAATTATAACTATATTCATGTTACTTAATCACCCATTCCCCTTAGCGACTCCCAACATTTAAATTAACTTACAATCAGTAATTTATTATTTTAAATCATGCTAAAAGGAATCTAACAGAATCGATTGTTATCTTATATCGAATTATTATTCAAAATTTCACCCTCTATTAATTTTGTGTTTTTAATCTCATAATTTTTTCCGAAACGCGCCAAAAGAAATATAACTTCCAAAAAAAAAACCCCTCGCAAAACGAAATTAATTTAATAGTCAAGTTATTATTGTAAAATTACAAAATGTAAAAAAATGTTCTACAAATTAGGACCATTAAGAATTCTAGGAACAAGAAAACAACCACTCATTGGCGGATCTTGAACTCATGTTTATTCGCAGAGTTAGAGAATATTCTTTCGAGTTTTCTTATATTTTTTCTTTTCACTAACTGGAACAGAAGTAAGAAAATTGTGAAAAGCGGTGTGCAATGTAGGCAAAGGTGGAATGGGGTGTTTCTTTGTGGTCTGGTAACAACGCTAATACACTGGTGCAGCATCAACAAAGATGCAAGCCAGGCAGCTGGTGCAGTTGCTGTGTTACTGCTACCGGGTTTTAGAAGAATGCCCATAGACGGTAGTCGGCTTTCCTTCCAGGCATCGTTTCAAGACGCCTAAGAGCTTTCGTAACGTTCAATTATCTCTTTTTACGGAGCTGACTATGTCGGTCGAAAAGACCTAGAATTCTAAGAAGAAAATTTACCTGCACTTATTCCAGAATTATCTTAAACATTAATGTTATATGTTTATATGTATATATATATATATACTAACCCCCTTCCTAAGATTATTATAATATATTTTATTTTTTCTTATTAATAATGCTATTTTTTAATTTAATATAGCTGCCAATTATTTACTTATCTTTCAACAATTGAACACGAAAATTATAAATAATTAAATATATATTGAAATATTTTAATGAGAGTAGATTTTGTTGAGAAAAAAATGTGAGCCATTGTTTATATTCAAAAATTATATTCCACAAAGTGGCTATGAAAAAGGAATGTGATTAAAATAACAAAAATAATTAATCTCTTTCGCGGTTTTTTTTCGTACGTTAGATCAAAAGTCAATATTATTCAAGTACGAATATTAAACGACGAAATGAACATATTACGTGAATTTGTAACTGCAGCAATAGAGAACAGCGAGAGTGAAACACTTCACGGTGCACCGACACTCGCAAACTATCGAGGAAAAAAAAAAAAGGAAAAAGAAAAAAGAAAAAGTGTAGTAGAAGAAGAAGAAGAAGAAGAAGAACACATAAGTAGCAGGAAAAGTAAGAGTGTTGCGACATTCGTTGAAAGTCCTACGCTGTGTTTCGCGGTTTTCTTCGAAAGACACGCCATTTTTAAATAACAACTACGAAATCCAAATGATCAATTGGATCTTCTTTTTATCGCATCGTTTATCATTGTAATAAATTCCCTTTTTTTTCAACGTGATAGACATTTTTTTTTAATATAAGCCACGAATATACATTTAGTTGGTAAGAATTTTAAAAGTATTTAAATAATTTGAATAAATCGATAAACATATTGGCATTTTTATTTGAATATAATAATTTTGTTTAATGTTAAAAATTTTAATTACTAATATTTTAAGCATATATTAAACTAATGTATAAATATTTATATAATATTATAAATATATGGATAATGAAAGTACTAAGTTTAATGAAAGATTATTTTTAAAATAAACTATCAAGGAAGTTAAGAATTTACTATTAAAAATAAATAGGACGTGTATGATCGCAAGTATGTATGTATATGTATACACTCACATAAGAGCGTATAAGAGACGTAAAAAATCAATAATTCCAAGGGGAGTAACCGCGTGCTATCGTCCGATGATCAAATGATAGAAAATTCCTTCCGTACGGAAGACACCATAAGTATATATATATATATACGTATAGCGTTGGAAAGATTGAAGATAAAAAATACTACGACGTATACTTTTCTTTGATTGGTCAAAAGAATCTTTCATGTATACACGTATAGATTCAGGTATTCCGATTTACATGACTCACCCTATACACGAATATATACACATAAAGCCGGCAATGCTGTGTACAATAAAAGAAAAAAAGAAACAAACGGATAAGAAGATACTGTGATGTCGTTTCCTTGAGTGAACGGCTTCTATATCTAACGAGTGCATTGCAAACATCGAGAAGGAACGAAGAAAAATAAGATTGACGAGAGTTTGAATAAACTCCACAATATATGTGCTACATGTAAAAATGTTTCACGTATATCTCAACAATGATTTTTCTATAATAAACATTTCTTATTATTTTTCTTTTTATATTATTTTGCATACTTATATACTACTCCTTTAATCATCAATCGTATATAAGACGACAACGACAATGTGATATATTTTTTTCAACATTTCTTATTCGTCAGCGAATCAGAACCAGGTATTTATGAACGATGATCACATAACTCGTCGTTCGTTTCATTTAGCTCGGTATTTTTGAAAAAAAAAAAAAAAAAGAAAGAAGAATAGTAGGCTTAGCTTATCTTTCTCAAATTTCGTCTTATTGTTAATTCGAGTAATATACTATATTGAGATTATATTTCCAAGAAAGATCATTTCGATAGATAAGATCCAATTTCAAGTTATTTATATAATTAGGAACAATCTTTTTCATTGTTTTGATGATAATCTTTTGATCACGCTGTTTGAATTTTTGCGCATTTTTATTACAGATTTTAATTTGTATGTTACTTTCGTTCGAATAAAACTAAACCAAGGATAGATTTCTTGACTGTGATAATCGTACCCATTCTAACGAATAAAACACACACACACATATACGTATATACATGTGTATATAAACTTCGTTTAAGTATATCACGATAATGTACATTTTGCGTGTATGTGTATATTTATATATGTATAATATATGTGCATATATATAGATAAAACGACGACTAGTTTCGCAGGAAGTCACAGTCTATTTATTAGTTTACATGCAAGCTTGTCTCTATATTCTGTTGAAGACACGAAGATTAAAATATTAATAAGCGTACCTGTATTGAATGTTAACGATGTGCGAAGAGATGTCATCATCGACTTCGAACGGTAAGCAGACAAAAGCTGATCAGTGCCAACCAATAACACGACTTTACGTACTAAACCAATCAGAGACGTTTCGTAATTAACCAATAGGATTATCCGAAAATTAAATCAATTATTACTTTTCAAAGAGAAAATAAAAAAGAAAGTACAACGAAAAGAGAATAATAATACATTATTTACAACATTAGAAATATAAATCGAAAATATTAATAGATACACAATGGGAATTAAAAATCGATCAGTGTCAATAACTACCAAACGACAATTTTATATATCTAACCAATCAGAGAGAAGCTCGCAATTAGCCAATAAGATTATTCGAAAGTAAAACACCATTATTTATCGAAAATACAAAAATAAAAAAAGATAAGAGAAGAAAAATAAAACATTTCCCTTACACACCGTTAGAAAAATTATAATATAAACATATACTACATGCACATACACACATTTAAACGTACCAGAATATTCGAAGAAAGAACATACTTAGAAAAAAACAAAAAAGAAAAGTAGGTATATACAAAAATTGCCCCGAAAACGCGTATTTCATGGTCCCTTGTATGTTGATAAAGAGGACGACAAACATATACATGTCCACATATACATATTATACATATTATACATATATATATATATATGTAGGAGAAAGAGTAATGCTGGTTGGGAGGCGTGCAAGGATGGCGACGCGCAAGGATACGAGTATGACCTCGACGAGAGCCGAATCCGAACGTGGAGACGACCGAATAGTTCCGAAAGGTGGCTGCATCTTCCGTGTGCATCTGCGAAACGCCCACGCGCTACGAGCACGCATGCGGCTACGCCAATCACCTTCCTCCTCTCTCTTTCTCATTCGCACTTACACAACAACGTCGCACCGAATGAGAATAAAGAAGGAATATAGGCGGCAAAGTCGATAGGAAGGAAGAAGAGAATATATATGAGATAGAAAGAGAGAGAGAGCAAATGTTGTCATAAAAAGAGATGAAAGAACGAACGAGTGAGTGAGTGAGAAGGAAAGAGATAAATATATACAATGAAAGTTGCCGAGAGATTTAAATCCCGGCGGATGAGTTTATCGAATTCTCTTTTAAAATAAAGAGAGAATGAGAGAGAGATTAAGCTTTACCGATATTATTTTTCCCCTCTCTCTCTCTCTTCTTCTTTTTTTTGATATTCGTAATCATCCATATGAAAAAAAAAGAAAACCTATAGATTCTTGAAGAAACAACAGGATTGATCTTCCTCTGTTTTTTTATTTCCTCTTACAGTTTCATCAATCCAAATTTCTTCTGTTTAACGAAATAATACCAACGGACTTCGATTAAAATTTCGATTTATTTCAACGCGTATCCTTGAATTCATTATCTCGAACTCCATTTGTAATTGGATTGCGCATGGGGAAAAACACATTTGTGCCGATTTTAAATGAAAATGAAAACACGACGTAATCATATTTTGATAGAAAAATTAATAAATCGGCATGAATTTCCCCCATTATTTAATATAATCAACATCCGCGCGTATTACTTATTATTCGATTATAATTTTAAAATGTTTCATGTCTTTTTTCTACATGCGTAATGTAAGTAGGATATGATTAAACATAGTTTTTATACTACCAATATTAAAAAACAACATTGAAATGCACATATGCAATTAAGTACATGCGTAAACAAATGATATAAGTAACGAGAGGGTGGATTAAAAAGTTTTGAGCTTTAATGAGTAAAAAGAAAAGAACTTTTATTTATTAAACAAAAAAAGTGAGTTTGATCGAAGAAATATTTTTTATGTCAAGCTCGAGACTTCTTAAATCCCACCGATATATGCTGAGAAAGGAAAGGTCGAAAGAATTTGAGAAAGGTGCAGGTGTAGAAGAAAAAAAAAATAAAATAAAAGCCGAAAATAAAAGGAAGTAAAGGTTGTCCTTACTTCTTCGAGGGATGTGATGGTCTGCCTGCATTGTGGCATTCGTGAAACGAAGGTCGACGTAGTGGGCGAGTTATAGTCCTCCCTCGTTTCCTCGACGAACTCGCTCACCGCGATTAGGCCCGGCATTTTTCTTTCTTCTTTTGTTTTTCGTTTTTTTAACTTTTATATCTTCCGCGCGTTATTCTTAATATTTTAGATGATGCACAAGAAACTACAAGCTAAACGACGAACTGTCAACCACCATCAATGACGGTGACGACGACGACGACAGTAATGGTAATAATAATAATAATCAAGAATAGTTTAGTAAAGTCGATAGATCAATATATCGAAAGATTTCTTTTTCGTGCCTTTTCTAGCACCGTATGTCTCTCGTTTTCTCTCGCGCGCACACACACCCGTCACCGATATATATATATATATATCTCTCTCTTTTTCTATCTCCAATAATCTTTCGCATCTACCTTTCTCTCTCTCTCTTTCTATTTTTCTTTCACTTCACAGTTTCTCGCAAGCGCACCATAAATTCCAACGACGAGTTGCCTACTGTCACCTTTTCCTTTTCCTCTACTTTTTCTCTCTCCCTCTCTTTTTCTTTCTTATTTTTTTATTTATTCTTTTCTTTTGTATACAAGCAACACAACAAAACAACAAATAAACTACTACTAGTACTTATTACCGTTTCCGTGATTACGGTTTAAGCATTGACGATTGCAACAATCGTCAAACTATGATAAACGTCCCCGGTGTTAGTGGTGGTGGTGGTGGTGGTGTGTCGACGTTGACTCTAAGTAGACGGACAAATCCCGCAAGAGAGAGAGAAAGACAAGGATGCTAAATACGATATAATATGTGTCCTCATGTATACACCACTATACCACTCTTTCTCTCTCACCATCCATGTATATGTATATATATTTTTGAACGGAGTGCCAAGTGTCTCTCTCTCTCTTTCTTTCTCCTCCTTTCCTTACTCCGTTTCGTTTAAAAGCCTTCAAGAGACTTGCCCGTAGGCTCCTCTCGGACAACGATTATCTTCCCGACGACATCTTCCCGCTGTCGAACTTCCTATAACGATTAACTACACGAAAATACATCATAGCTATCTCCTCTTCCTTCTTCTTCTTCTTCTCTTTCTTATTACTTTCTTCTTCTTCTTCTTCTTCTTTGACAAGTAAACGCCGATCCCAACGCGTACACATGCACCAAGCGCGAACGCGACTGCGTTCGGCAATCGTTAAAGTTCTTATACACGGCCACTTTGCCGAAGCTTTGCTTCGCACCTCCACCGTGCCAAACCTAGGCGCTCACGACGACGAACGAAGTTCCACTGAGGCGGCGCTATTTTGACGACACCCTTCGCCATTGGTCGAATCATTTTTAGTTGTAACTACGACTTTTACCGTACCGAGATGCCATCTGGCGACGTTATAAAATAACTAATTATTCCCGCGACAAAATTCAAATCAATTTGAAATGTTATTTATGAATATAATTGTAATGTTATTTATTTTCATATATTGATTTATAGTTTATAATGTTATACATTTATTTTACGTTTATATTTGTTTATGAAAACTTTAACTATATGTTTATTCATATTAATTAAATAAAAATATATATGTGCAAAAATTATTTCATCTAATAATTATATCAACTTTTAATTCCAAATTTGTTTGAGTCTAATTGAAAACGTTGATACCTGTTAGATTTTACAAAGTGAAATGTGTAGCTTTTTTATTTTTTGAAATTTATTTATTGATAAGTAAAATTACATATATCCACAAACACAATATGTTCTTTCATGGGGGATTAGGAAAAGGATTTAGAAGGAGTGGTGGTGTAATAATGCATTAAAACTTGTGAGCAGTGAGGAGAAATACGTGGTTAAGGGAAAAAAGAGGTAAGCATTCTTATCCTTAAACGATAATATTCTGTATTTAATTGAGGTCAAGGTGGAGATCAGAGGAGTAGAGGAGCACGTGGTTGAGGGTAGAAAGGATTCGTGGTCGTGGAGATGTTTAATTTAAAAATTATAATGCTTCTATGTAAGAGTGATAATTCTCTAATATTTATGTACTCTCATTTATCCGTTATTTTAATCGGTTTAAGGTTAGCTTGGATGGATGCACAGATTCTTAGTATACATATACTATTATACTGCATACTAAGAACTCATAAGAAAATTATTATTTTTAACAGTTACTTTGTTATCTTTCTTCATTTTTTTTTGTCTCTCTCTTTCTTTCTTTTAAATGCTTTTTTTTCTTTCTTTCCTTCGTTCCCTCCTTTTGGTTTCTTTTTTTTTTTCTTTCAATTCTTTAATATTATCCTTCAAAACTTAAAGACAAGTGTGTTATTTCTTAATTTTATCTCAACATTGATAAAAATAAAAATCACAAGCAAAAACGATCCATAGGCAATAGACTTTTTTTGACTGTGATATATGCATTAATAACGTTATCTAATAATCATCCACTATTCCCTGTACAACCAACATCTTTTACGAGCCACAGCAACGTTTTCTTGAAGGAGCATTTTAAATTTAAATGGTTTTTCTTTTTTTCTTTTTTTCTCGGCGTTTAATAATTGTTAAACGGTATTGAAACTTGGTGCATTTCTTTTTCTTTTTCTCTTTTGTTATTTTTTTTTTTCTTTAAAAAGAAAGACAGAGTTTTAAATAGGAAAGCTAGGAGTTATTGGCAGAAACAATTTCTGCATATTGTATATTGTTTTATACGAGTGTCACATTGCGCATTATATATATCAGTATAATATATATATAATACAGGATCATGATTACAGATTGATACACAATGTACGAGAAAAACTGAAAAAATTGTAAAAATAAAGTCTAGCTCCATTATTATTCTCTTCCTTTTTCTTTTTCTTTTTTTCTTTTTCTTTTTCTTTTTCTTTTTTTTCTTCTTTTAACTTCTAATCCGAACTGCTATTTAAAGGACGTATATTTTCTTCCTTTCCCCTCACATCTTTCTCACATGGCATTTTTAAGCTAAGTCAATTGTCTTGATATATATGTACTTATCACCTCTTTACAAAAATCAATTCTTAAACTTATATAGGATAACTCGATGCAGATTCGCAGAATTATGAACAATACAATAATGATATTTAGCAAATTCAAACTGATATGCTCCGATATATGCGCACGCGATAATACTAGATATTTATATATATCATTTATTTTTTATATTATTATTCGTAACGTTTATAATTAATAAAATAAAAATCTAACGATAGATCAACTAAATAATTTACTGGATATCGCTTAAAATTAATCTTCGATAAAATAACATGTGTAACGTAGAGCAAAAAGAGATATAAATATATAATAAAAACAAATTGTATTTAACAAACATAGTGATCGTCGTCACTATCTGCGAATATTCATCGAGTCAGGTTTATATACGATGTTTCAATATTTTAAAGACTATTTGCTATAGGTACACAATGTATATTAATTTTATATGTATACATGTATATGCATGGTGTGTATATACATATATATATAATCTATATATCATTCACACATCTCTGACAAACTCACGAGCTTTTTAATGCGCGTGAAAATCATCACACACGTTCGCATACATACATATGTATATATATATTTATATATATATGTATCTATAGATAGATATATACATATATATATATATTTCTATATTATCATTAATTCACTGATGCTATTTGTAGTATTTGTAGTATTTGTAATACATTCACTTGGTAATTGTTATCGTCTTAATATATCTAAAATATTTGTAACATTCAGCAATGTATGTATGTGTAGTATCTGTATGTTTATATTTTATTTGCTCGCCCTTAGACCGGAGTTGCGCGAGATAATGAAGAAAATTTGAATAATCTTTAAAATATATAGGAAAAAAAGGCAGCTACTCTTTGAGTGCGCTTAAAAAGATTTCATTGTTTTCCTTTTCTTATTTTTCTTATTTCGCGTTTCTTTTTCAACTTTCAACAATCTTGGCATGCGATAAATCGTTTAAATTATTTTCAAAAACATGTGTAAAAAATACAATAAAACAAACTTATACGTAACGTATCTAAAAATGTACATTTAAGAACAATCATCTTAAATATTTTTCAGCGAAGATTAAGTTATTTAATTGTTTTCTTTTTTTTTTTTTCTTTTCTTTTCTTTTTTTGAAGGGTAGAGTTAAATATTAATTTTGCACATTATTTCATCGTCTTTTATACGTCGACGTATTCGATGAATCTATTGTCTTATAAATAGTTTACAACGTTTTTGTGCAAAATTAATATTTCGAGCAATAACTTGTAGATCTCGCAACGTAACAATTATTATCTTAAGATGATCGGTCTAATAAAAAATAATAATACCTGTGAGAGAATAAAAAAACATATAACAATTGATCGTATAATAATAATTTCAATTATTTTCAAACGGTATTTGCATTTTCTTTATATATATATAAATATTTAAACATGTCGAACTAATTAGGATAAAAATATACAATCGCTTAGAACGGGGATTTAAGAATTAAATATGATCACAGTACTTAATTAAAGAATAAACAAAGTAAAAAAAAAAAAAAAAAAGAGTTGATCGACACTTCTAGAGCGTGTTTAACAAATAGCGTGTGTGGTGTGTGTGCAATGGATAAAAATAAATAAATAAAATGAGAAAATTAAAACAAAAGTTTCCCACGCGTCCCTGGCTAAAGTGCGGGCTAAAAAAACACCCCCTTTTGACCATGTACAAATATATATAAGCATTAAACGTGTAATATATATTATCGTCATATAATATAATTAATAATACCCTAAGATATTGTAATTGTTATTGTATGAACAATTCGAAAACGGAAAGTAATTATTCTTTTGCTTTTTTTTTTTCTTCTTTTTTTTTTTTCAACAGCCGTCTATAAATTTTCAAGCCTTAGTCAGAGGTATTAAAGCCAATCAGAAAACTCCGGTAAATACTGTTCCTCTTATTCGACAGTATCGACGTGACGTCTTCGATTACTTAAACTCGTTTTAATTAATAAAAACAAGAAAAGGATTCGGCGACGTCGAACGAAACTATCGAATATTTTCCGTGCAACCAACGAACACCAACGACGGCCTACCGAAAAAAGTACTCTCGACTTTCGTGTGGAATGATAGAATAATAATATCTTATTTCTCGTTTTATATCATTAAATACACGTTAGTAATTCAATCTCTTAAGTATTACTTTTTTCCCCTCTTCTTCTTCTACTCCTTCTTCTTTTTTTTTTGTCTCTTTTTTTTCTTTTTATATATAGATAGACTAAGTAAACGTTAAGTACAGAAAGATTTTACCAAAAAAACCAGGCAGTGGGAATCGAACGGGGACGAAGAAAAAAAAATTATACATACATATATATATATGTATATATATATATGTATATATATGTATCACGAACTTTTTTTTCCCTTATTAATGTGCATCATCGATTGATGTTCTGATATTTTGAGAGTTTCTTGTAGCGTACGTGTACAACTCTTGCACAATCATAAGCGATTAACTTTAATAATCGAAGCTTATATCACCCAATGCGGAATTGCTACGACTTTGAGATACTGATATATATTTATTATTATTATTATTATTATTATTATTATTATTATTATTATTTTATTATTAATATTATTTTATTATTATTATTATTATTATTATTATTTTATTATTAATATTATTATTAGTATTATTCAAAAGGACTGAATCGTAGAATCTTATTGCCATTCTCTATCTCTAAAAATATCAGAGCGAAAAAATATAGAAGTTATATAGTGCACGATTGAATATGCACATTACCAAATGCATTATTGGATTACGGAGAAAAAATGTTGTTGCTTGGTGGTGATTCTAAGATCTATTATTGTTAACAGTAAATAGAGATAGGATTTGTTTAGTTTTCAATCGGGTACTTCTCGCAATCCTTTTAAGATGAAAAGTCAATAAGTTAATAAAGTTGAAGGAACATCAAGATGATAGAAACTAATGCGAACTCGTTTATCATGAGCAATGCTCCTTCCTGAGAAAGTTTCTCTTCGATATTTATGATGATGAAAAATAATATTATTTAGCAGGAGGCACTTCCAAAGAGACAGGCATTTATAATTATCTGACATCCATTTCCATATGGCACATACATTTAAATCGTGTATCATTATGTAGATATACACACTGATTCGAGTAAACTTATCTAGATAGTCTTCATGGTTTTTACGCACTGTCATAGGTATTAGTTCCCGCGTAATAAATCTTATAATGATAATAATCCTCCCCATTTTATATAACATCATCGATGGGACCAACATATACAAATACATATCATCGGATTTCTTGTGCTATACATTATGTGAATTAACATCACTGCCTATTACGATTTATGACAGCTAGTTTCAGATTAAATGAGTATTATTTTAGCTGTGCAAGCACAATGTAAGCGCATAAATAATCGGATCTTCGGAAGAGCCTCGTGCCGTTTTTTTTTTATAGAAAATATTCAATCAATATTATAACGAAAATAATAATAATGACGTTCGTAATTTAAATGGAACTAATGTAATAATAATAATATGGAAAAAAGCTATTCGAGACCAGCTTTTATTATTTAAAAGCGGATAAAATGTTCCGACTAAAATCAATCAATTATTCTTTCACCTCGAAATATTTATATGTCGGATTTTCATAGCCATTTATTTGCATGTTGGCTACGTGTCGTTCTTCCGGTGTTGCTGCTTGATCAACTTCAATGAAACCCTGTCAAATATTTTTATTTTTTATATTATTTAGATAGATACTCGATATAGATATTAATGGGTAATTTTGTAAATATATATATATATTTAAATATACCTGGCTGTGTGGGCTTCTCGCATTACGTCTCTTGAATACAGCAACTCCTACGATTGCGGCTGCCATAAGTGCGATTCCAGCAAATGCTAGCGTAAAATAGACTGATCGGCTCTCTTTGTGATATATTTCACGTCTTACTAAATATCCCTGCAAGATATTAGATATACATTAGTAACATTTTTATATAATAATTATATTTTTAATATTTGTAACGATTAAAAGAAAGATTAAAATCTAAACTTTAATGCTGTAACTGTAAATAATAAAATATATAAATAGCAAGCTCTCTCTACAAAATTAGTATTACTAATAGTTCTAATGTAACTGTATAATTGTTCTAACCGGTTCAGAATGTGAGGCATCATGAGTCATACTGTGTGCTGCCCTAACCACTCCTTCATTATGCAGCGTTGCAACGGGAGCCGGTTGTTCAGACTGCTGCGAAGAATACTTATTGTCATTCACTGAATCATTTTCTTCATGCTGTTCTTGTTCTGCACGTAATTCACCACGTTCGCCCTTACGTTTTTCCTTGCGTGCACGTTCTAATTGCTTCTGATGTTCTTTTTCTATAAATAAAACGCATAGACGTGCATACACACATATATATATATATATAAATCCTTTTTTTATAATAAAAAAAACTTAGAATTTTTTAAATGATTTTATAAAAAAGGAAATGCTAATATACCTTCTTGTTTGCTAGCAACGTCCGCTTGATACTTGTCTAAAATAGCTGCTTCTGCCTCTCGAGTCATTGCTAACAATAAACCTGGTGTTTCATCCTTACTGCGAAGCGCCAAAACATAGTCATCCATTAAACGCCCGATTTTTGCACTCAGATCAGGATATCTGAAGGTCGATGAAAAGATAATAAAATATCAACAAAAAAATAATAATATTATACTTTGCAACGATAAATTTACTATAAAAATTAAAAACTGAGAATATTAAATTATACGGTACGATAAATTTTCAATACATTACCGTTCCAACATCAATAAGCTTTGATTTGTAATTCTATCGATTTCTGCCAAATGTTCCAGTGTCGCTGGTTTCTCGCGTTGAGCTTGTTCCAGACTGCTGTCGAGTAAATGCTTGTAATGAGCAATGGTATGGTGTCGGTCCTTGTGAAGAGCTCTGAGCAACTTTTGTAGGCATTTCTGAATACGATGAGTCTAAAAAATATAATATAAAATATAAATCAACCTGGCTCTCTCCTTGTAAGACAGATGGAAAAATAAATTCAACGAACTCACATTTGGTGGAGTTTCATTCAAAGCAGCAGTGTAACAGGACATAGCTTCTTCGTTTCTCTGCTTAACAGCTTCCTACAATAATAAATGAAAAATGCTTGACAAATTCTTATATTACAAATTCACATATTTATTTTATTACGTTATTTTAATAATGTGCATACTTGCACTCGTTGTTGATGCATCGCACTGAGCTGGTGTTTTTCAGCAGCACCACTTTCTTCCAAAGCTGCAACAGTTTCCTGGAATCGTGCAGTCATCCATCGTTTGAAAGCATCAGCTGCAACTGGATCATGAGCTCTGATATCTTGATACCTTTCCTCTAGGTCACTCCAATCCTTCATCACCTGAAAACGTTGTAGCACAAAGATTGCGACACCAATGTTCGGGGCTATAAAATCTTTTGCCCAAATAATATTATGTACATATAGAAATAAGTACATATGCACTCTAACGTGCATTAAACTTTATGATTTAAAGAACATTAACAAAAATGCTTTTGCTTACTTTTGTTACTTTCTCTTTGTGTACTTCCTCGAGCCTCATCTGTGCTTGCTTGTAACTCTGATGTTCTGATCGTGGATCAAAATGAGTCAAGTAAGGGTCTGGTGTACCTTGTGATTGAGATGGTTGTTGTGTGCTGCTACTAAGTGGTAAGGGCATTGCCGTTGCTTCTTGTTTAACTTTCTCAGTCGTTGAGAATATTGTGGACGGTCGGCTGCGTTGTTAAAGATTTCTCATTGCATATTTTAATAATAAATAAAGTAAAAAAATCAATTGAATAATTGGAATCATATGCTTACCTCGTAGTTGTATCATAATCGTCTAAATATTCTTCGTCACTTTCGTCATCGTCAGGTTGATCACTGAATACATCATCGAGATCGCTTTCAGAATCATTATCCTCGTCGGCTTCACCATCGAGATCATCCTCGTCATCGAGATCGTCGTCGAGATCATAGTCAACTCCTTTTGGAATTGGTAAATCGATCGGTTTCTTTACTTTTACAGTTTCTGTAATTAAACAAAACCATTTGTCTTGAACAACAGAAGAAAAATGAAGAGAAAAGAAAACAATAAGAGATTTGAAATATTTTAATATTTTATTTCTTGGACCATTATTTATTTTAAATATATACTGAGTATCTAATAAAAAAATGATCAATATTTATATAATAAAATATCAATACGTATTTCGTATCAATATATAATCCTACTGTTGCTTTTATGCAACCCTTTTACTCTTATTATAAATACTGTTAAATTATTTATATATATATGTATTGACCATTTTGTATAATATTGATTAAATAAATATAAAAGTAATTAAATATTATTATTATATTAAATTTCAAATGAAAATGAAAAATAAAAGAAATTGTATAAATATATACACCTAATTTTTATGTTAATCAACACAAAAAGAGAGAAAAAGAGAGAAAAAAGAGATCCCCAGTTAGCAAAAGGTTGCTTGTTATAAAGATGAAGAAGTAGTAGAGGAAGAAAAAGGTGAATTAAGAAAAGAGAAAAGAAAAAACAAAAAAATGTAAAAGAAAAATGTAGGAAATAAATAACAACAGAGAGAATATGTCTGCTTCTGGCTACTTTTCTTTCTTTCTTTCTTTCTTTCTTTCTTTCTTTCTCGATCTTAGGCACATAGTTCTTCCTCATTCCAGAGGCTCTAATTTTTCCCTGTTATGTTAGAGAGGGCTAGGATTCTTGACTAACTAGGTTCTCGAGATGTTCTATTCTCCGAGAATAGATCCTCTCTGATGAGCTGACTTCTCAACTTCTGCAAAGCCAGACAAAAGCCTTCTCTTCTGGTTATATCCACGATGCTGTTCTTTTATCTGGGTCGCAGCATGGCAGACGTGCAATAAGTGTATGGGCTGGCAGTATTCTTAAGTGTACTTTTGGTCGAGACACGTGTGGTATTGGAAGTATCCAAAATCTTCAAGAAATGTTTCAAGAATATCAAAACTTTAACGCTTGATTTTTATTTTAACTAATCACATGAGGGAAAGAAAAAAGAAATAAATATATTATTTATAGCAAACAATATGTGTTTTGTGCAAACGAATGATATACTACTATGGGTCTAGGGATGATTTAATTCGTTTTATTTTAATTAATTTCTTTGAATTTATTTTATGTAACTTTTTGAGGAATCGTATTTATGCTCATGCGTGAATATGTTTTATATATATTTTATTTTATGTTTTTAATCGCAATAATATTCCACGGTTAAAACATATTTCGAAAATTAATATATATATATATATATGTGCTAAATATAAGTTTAATATAATTATAAAATATTATACAATCATATAATAATAATAATATAATTATCAATGTAACTTTAGAATAAATTTCACCTATTATACTGTAAAAGTTTATACACGTATATTTAATGCAAGTTCGGTATTGTATCATTCTTTTTATTGCATTTAACAAAAAATTGAATCACAGAGAATTAATTTCACCACCATTCAGAGAAAATAAATGTATATATATAAAAAAAAAAAAATTGAAATAAATTAATTACCAGACAAAATATAATATGATATTAAAAAAATACGTTTGGAAAAGAAATATTTAAAACGCATATTTAATTGAGAATTAAATCGGTAAATAAATAAATCAAATATGTTATATTTAATAATTCTGCGTGTGTGTGAGAGTGAAATAATTATAAATTCATACATACATATATATATATATATATATAAAGAGAAAGAAACATAATATTTAGAAATAAGATCACAAATAAAATAAATTAAAATTTCGTGTCAAAAACAAACGGAGAGTGGAAGAGAGGGTGTGGGCGTGGAGGTAAAGAAAGAAAAAAGAAAAGAGGCAAGTACAAAATAAGAAACAAAAAATGAATTAAAAGTAAAAGAATATTAAAAAGGATATCCCGTTGAAAGGACACACCAAATAAAAGTAAAAAAAAAAAAAGATAAAACTATAGAAACATGATGCGTAGTCGTCGTCGTCGTCGTCGTTGTCCTCGTCGAGAATGACGCGCGGTAGTTATTGATTACTCGAGCGAGTATATGACGATAGTGGTGGTAGAGTGAAGATGGAAGAAGGGTGGAAAAGAGGAGTTGTGTACACGTGCACGCGCGCGCGCGCGCGTGTGCGATATGTAATCAGTGAGAGTATAAGTGAGAGAGAAAAAGAAATAAAAAGAAATAGAACAAGAAGTAAAACATGGGGAGAAGTGAAAAGAAGACAAAGGAAGGATGAAGGTAGGGTGTTTAAAAAAAAAAACAAAAAAGAAGAAGGGTAGAATATTAGGGAAATGAAAGAAGGAGAAAAGAAAGAAAACGATTGAAAATGTCGAGTAGAATGAATGGCCCTGCTGCTTGCCTGGCTGCCTGTCTGCGTGCGTGTGTATTTAACGCATTTCCCTTCTTCAAACCCTTCATCATATTTGACTGCTTTTTATAATTCTTATTCTCTTTATAGTTTTCATTTTCTTTTCTTTTCTTTTCTTTTTCTTTCATTTGTTCCCTCCAATTTCTGTACTATGCTTATAGTACTTTCCACACAGGCGTGTCCATTAAAAAAAAAAGTTTGGATTACTTTAATTCACACAGGGTAAGTTATACCTAATACAAAGGCTAATTATTTTGAAAATCTTGATTATCGTGTAAGAAAGAAGATTAGAGAAAAAGTAAAACGAGAAACAACAAAGAAATAGATATGGATATATCAGTTTTGTAGTTTATATAATGGAATGGAAAATCGTTAATGAATGTAAAAATGATCTCATGTATAAAGAGAGAGAGAGAGATAGAGAGGAGAGAATAAGAAAATAGAAGAGATAGAAAGAGACTAATTATGTAAGCATGGTATTGTCATTAGATAAAAATGTAGTCGTTATTTTAACGACAATAATGAGAGAAGAATGATATTATGATGTTAGAATGTTACGTACGTTACGTACCTTTCAGGTGTTTCGGACAGCATACGAACTCGACACCAGAGAAGAGTGATATCCCGCATGGTAGCAACATAGCAAAACTTCTTAGGTTCATGTTACGTTCTCTGCAGGTATCAGCGGCTGTTGCGTTCCACCTTTAAATTGAATTAAATATGTATATTTATATTATTAAGAAGAAATTATTATTAATATATATTATAAATAATATTTTATATAATATATATATATATATAATTGTGTGTGTGTGTTAGGTCAGCAAGAAAGTTCGTGCCGTTTCTAAGTTTGATTGTATCATTTATCTTTATTGTTTTAAAACGACACGAACTTTTCTAGTTACCTGATGTTATAATATATAATATATGCTTTAATAATATCAGATAACAAGAAAAGTTTGAGTCACCTAAGTCAATAAAGATTCTAGTTAAATGATATACAAGCCTAGAAACGAAGTTTCTTGTTTACCCGATGCATATATATGTGGTTATTATAATAATAATATTTTTATTTAATATTACCTATGCGATTCCCAACATTTGGTCTGATTATGTAGATGATCGAAAAGACATCCCTCCGGTACAAGAAGTGCATCACTTTGGAAGGGACCCTCTAAGAAATTGTATTATAAATAATATTTATTAGAAAAATGATCAATAATATAAATGAAACGTATAAAATAATATTTGAATAAATTATAGAAATTATAATATCTTTCAAAAGTATTTTTTTCACAAAGAAAAAGATAAAAAATAAAAAAAAATAAAAAGAACTAATAAATTTCTAATGAATTTTTAATTATTATTTTTGTTTATTTCTAACGCTTACCCAAACATCTATATGGTTTAACCCATCTCGACAATTTACATTTGGTTCTACCAGGCTTGCACCACCCACTAACTCTGACATAATGTGACGACTCGACGATGTTAGTGATGTCTCTCTTTGGATATGCCTACAAAATTAGGTTTCAGTTAAATATCATAAATATTCAAGCAGGATGATCTCTATCATCTATCCTTAACATACTTTATAAACTAGACTTTAATCATTTATGTATTTTCAAATCATTTTAATTAAAATTCGAATAATTTGTCAACGTGTGTTTATCAATAATCCAGTTTTAAATTTTAAATGAAAGAAAATACTTCATAAATGTGTTGTATTTATTTCAATAGAAAAAATACTATAAAAATTAAATATAAAAAATACTAAATGTTACACATACACATATGTATATGAAAATAATAATCAATAATTATCATCAACAATCTAAATACATTTATAAAAAAAAAAACTAGATTATAAATGTTACTAAAATATCCAATATAATAATCAAATGGATCTTATATTTAAAAAAGAAAAATCCGACATGGTATTACATTGAAAACGATATATAGATCATTTTGAAATATACAAATATACAAATATATACTATATATGTATATACATAAGGATGAAGTTAAACAGGGTAGAAAACAGTTTGGTTTGTGTGTGTTGTATGAGATGGAATGCAAAACCGTGCACTCTTTAGAAGCGCAAGCGCTCTTGCGGTCTTGTGTGTTACAAGTTAGAGAAGGAAAATACGGGCGTGGGTGAATCGAGGTTGTATCGTGAGTGAAATGAGGCTGCCACGAGCAAAAGAGGCGTGCATACAACACGTACAACAGTAAACCACCAACAGCAGCAGCAACAGCAGCAGTAGCAGCAGTAGCACACACTACTACCACTCTACTACTATTACTACTACTACTATTACTACTACTACTACAACTAACTACTTTCACACCAACCAACTATTCTATGTGTACATATATATATATATATATATATATATATATGTGTCTTTCTTTCGACGATCGTTACTTATTTTACACGTTGGGGTGTCATTGTGTTGTGCTCGTATATTTTCTTCTACCTTTTCTTTTTATCTTTTTCTTTCTCTCTTTCATTCTGTTTCTTTTTATTCTAACAATCCTCTCTGCTAGCATGATACTACCTAGCTAGCTAGCTAGCTAGCTAGGCTTGTGAAGTATTCCAGTTCGACATACCTGCTCTATATTCGTTTCTACTCTCTTCTTCTTCTTCTTCTTCTTCTTTTACTTCTACTTTTACTTCTTTTTCCTTTTCTTTTTTTTTTTGGGAAGAAAAAGAGAAGGGAAAAAAAAAATACTTGCAAATAACTTTCATGAGATGGACAAGGTGTGTATATAAGAGAAAGAAAAAGTAAAAGAAAAAAAACAGAGAGAGAAAGAAAGAGAGAAAGAAAGAAAAGGTAGCAGGTATACTACCTACACTACTACTCTTCTTTTTCAACTCTACCGCGCCTTTTACTCCTTCCCAAACGAGCCAGAGAGAAGCTGGAAGCCGTGTACGTTTTCTATAGCGTTTCTACTCCCGAATTGAAAGTACCCACTAGGCTTCAACGAGCCTACTACGAGACTCTTTGCTGAGAATAATGACGTGTCGCGTTGGTGTCGGCTGATTTTAAACGATCTCCTTTTACCACCTTATTTCTTTTCTTTTTTTCTTCTTATTCTTATTCTTATTCTTCTTTCTCTTCCTCTTCTGCTTCACGTTATCCACCCTAATTCAACCCTCACCCCTCCCTCCCTCCCTACCTTCCTCCTTCATTATGGTATTTTGATTTCATTTGTTATTTCTAAAGATTGGATCACATTTTCTTTTTTTTTTTTTTTTCTCTTTGCTATTAATCTATCCTTTGAATTAGTTTTCAAAGTGTTGATTTTTTGGAGATAACCGATTGAATTCATGTAGTAAAAATTGAATAAACTAAACGTTTGAAATTGATTTTCAAACTTTAACAGAAAGTGACCATATTATATTGTGTAGTGTGTATTGATTTATTTTGTTATTTCTTTAAATCGTATTTGTAACTTATTTATCTTATTTGAAATGGATTTGAACGTAACGATACTTCTGAATTAATATTCTTACAATTAAAAGGTCAAATATAATTAAAATTAACGTTCAAATATTGATTTCTTACAAGGCATTCTTCTTTTCTTTTTTTTTTCTTTTCATGCAGGATAGTATGTTGAATTTAGAAGATGGTAGTTTTAATCTCAGTCTCTTACCTTCTTACAATATTCTAAAATCTCGAGTTTGTCCGTCATACAACTCTTCTTATCGGTTGACGACACCCATCTACCTTGCTCGCCCATGTGTTGTGCCAGGTAAACCTCACCGACTTCACATAGCGTTGCAACCTTTAAAGAAAATGAAGATTGGACACTTGGGATATAACGTCCTTTACATATGTATAGGAGATGAATTAAAACAGCAACAACAACTAAATGGTTTCATACGAAAAAATTATTTCGTGCAACAATCGAAGAAGATACTTTTTAATGTTTCTTTGTTTTTTTTGATTTTATATTATTATTATTATTATTAAATTCATATT